AGCCTTGATCTCCATATATGTCGACCGCCGCAGAATTCGCAGTGGGTCAGTAAGTTCAGAACGATTCAGCCACGTCACTGAACATACATTGAAGTCAACGCCTATCATCGGCCCAGGCGAAGTTTGGCGTCGAAAATGTTCAGCAGTTCATTCAAGCGGTTTCCAGATTCGCCAAAATGGTTGGAGCATGTTGGACCCCAAGTCATCAAAATTGATCCATCTTGATCCATCTTGATCCCATCAAATTTGAGGAGCCAGGGGGAACATCTAACGGTAACACCTGGCACTGGTCCAGCTTCGGTTGCGCTGGTCCAGCATGGCGACTCCAAAGGAGGACTTGGACGACGAAAAAATGGCTGTAGCTAGAGGGTAACCAAAGATGGCAATCAAAAATCCTAGATGTACATGTATAAAATTGTATAAATGGATGACTACATATATACATATACATGTATATATATATATACATACATATGGAGGAGGGGATCCCCAAGTCACCATGGGGTTCAATACTAGTTCATGGTCATTCATGACTCGGATGATATGGGGGAAATCATCCTATTGCTGGGGGATTTCCCAGCAAACCATGTTGGATGACACTGGAAGGTACCCGGCCTGGTAAACGTACAAAAAGCTATGGAAAATCACCATTTTTAATGGGAAAACTCACTATAAATGGCCATTTTCAATAGCTATGTTAAATTACCAGAGGTTATGTAAAAAATGCAAGACTGCATGTTTGAATGACTACGTGGGATGCAAGGGTATGCCAGGAACAAGGAAATTGGCACGGAATGACAGGAAAAGACGAGCTGCATGACAATGTGATAAACCCAAACCATTACCAAAAGATACCAAAAGTGGCTGGTAGTTTTCGGTTAGTTCCCCCCCCAAAAGGGGTGGTGTATGGTGAATGATACTCTGGCTGGTGGTTTCAAACATCTTTCATTTTCATTCCCAATGGCGAACATACTTTTCAAAGGAGGTGGCTGAACCACCAACATACATACATACATACATACATACATACATACATACATACATACATACATACATACATACATACATACATACATACATACATACATACATACAACATACATACAACATACATACATACATACATACATACATACATACATACATACATACATACATACATACATACATACATACATACATACATACATACATACATACATACATACATACATACATACATACATACATACATACATACATACATATAGCTATACATACATATAGCTATACATACATATAGCTATACATACATATAGCTATACATACATACATACATACATACATACATACATACATACATACATACATACATACATACATACATACTACATGTATATATATATACATGACTATATTACATATATATATATATATATGTATTACATACATACATACATACATACATACATACATACATACATACATACATACATACATACATACATACATACATACATACATACATACATACATACATACAACATACATATACCAATACATACATACATATACCATACCATACCATACCAGACATTACACGACATTACATGACATTACATTACATTGTATTTCATTGCACTACATTGCATTGCATTACATACATACATACATACATCATACATACATACATACATACATACATACATACATACATACATACATACATACATACATACATACATACATACATACATACATACATACATACATACATACATACATACATACTACATACATACATACATACATACATACATACATACATACATACATACATACATACATACATACATACATACATACATACATACATACATACATACATAAGACATACATACATACATACATACATACATACATACATACATACATACATACATATGTATGTATGTATGTATGTATGTATGTATGTATGTATGTATGTATAATATATATATACATATATATACATACACATATATATATTTACTTATATTTTCATCATATGTCATATCCCATCATTTTCCCATGGTATCTCCATTATTTAATGGGTATGGTGAACCACATCACGGCATTTTTCTGTGACACCAGACCCGGCCTCAAATTGTTGCAGGAACTGGACCTCGGCAAACTGAAGCAGGAGGGTGATGTGGGGTCGGTTTGGTAGTAGATGTCTGACAATCTTTCGGTATATTTCGGTCATATTCCCACTAATTCCCACTATGTGTGTATATATATATATATATATCTGGGTAAATTATAACGACCTCACTGCGACCTCACTGGAAATCATAGTTAGTAAGGGAAATGATCCCCACATGGCCGAAGAATTCAGGTTAGTGAAATATTATAATTTACCCATATATATATATATATATTGCAGTATTCCCCATGATATCTTAAAAATATGGGCGATTTTCCGACACACTTGGAGCATCACCACATTTAGTAAAGTGAATAACCATAGCTAATGTCATCTCCGGATTTTGCTAAACCATGGTTTATTAATTGTGGGGCTACCCTCCAAAGAGTCACTCACAATATGATACATTTTTATGGTACCCCCCCAATTCAACAGCCGTAAACGGGGTTTATGAAAAACCAGGGTTGACAGTATACCCCATCTATAAATGGGATGTTTTTCCCCTACATGGGGGCTGAAAAACCAGGGTTATCTCTAGGGGTAAACCCCCAAAAAATGCCGAACATGAAAAAAAACCTGGACAAAATCAGGGAACGTTTATCATCTTGACCATCCTGGAAGCATTGTGTTTGTTGATCTGATATTGGGGGAGAACTACCAAGAGAATCACCCCACGAGTCTACGTAGATAGTAACCATAGTTATACCTCATTTACGAATGAGGTAACACACAGAAATAATCGCTGGATCTAAGTGGGATTGAACCATCTGGGTTCGTCTAAAAAAAGTGTAGTCCTAAATCCATTGGTCAAGCATCAGTTTCCCCAGGAAAATAGCGATTTGGGGGTATACACTGCATGTATACAGGTCCACGATCTTCATGTTATACTATATCAGCATAATCGTTTTCTATTCTGGGAATGGCATTCTTAACCAACGTATGATGGAACGACAGAGGGCCCCAATGAACACTGGTCAGTTCTATGTCGAATTTTGTGAATATAAACTATATTTGGCTTCGTTTTTTTTTCAAGACTATGACTATGACAATGAACTGTTCCATACTACAAGATTTCAAAAGATAAGAATGCCTGAACACGAGTATTGTGTTCTGATTTAAATCTGTATGACATATATATATATAGGAGTCTTGTTGATGGGACACCCATTTATGTCAATTGAATGTTGCCAAACATTTTTGTGTTCCTGCGCCTTTTGGCCCCTGACAAAAAAAAAACCACTTCCAGGAACTGAAGTCGAAGAAGTCCTTCGTCAATGCCGGGAGTCCGGGCGTTTTTTTTGCTACGTTTGCTGATGGGAAAAGTAGGAAATAAGTAGGAGTAGGGCCGTAGGGTGAACAAAAAAAATGGAAAACATCCCCAAGAATAGTGGGAAAGTGGTGCGGCAAACCCTGTTTCTTCTATGCGAAAAAATGTAACCACACCTTGTCGACCCTGGTTTGAAAATGATGGGAAGCCCCCAAGAGCCCATGGTCAGAAAATCATGTTGCCATGAGCAAAACGGGACCATGGAACATCTGGGTTGTTTGATGGGAAAGATTGCAACAAGAAATCATTCATCTGAATCTGAATATATACATATGGATAATTATGAATGGTATTTGGAATTGTTTAGAATACATGTATATATACAGTATATTTACACGTATAATTATACTGTATTATGTATATATATATATATGTGTATACATATGCAAAAACATACATTTATATATTTATTTACATTTATTTATATTTATTTATATTTATTTATATTTATTTATATTTATTTATACTTATTTATATTTATTGATATTTATTTATATTTATTGATATTTATTTATATTTATTTATATTTATTTATATTTATATATATTTATTTATATTTATTTATATTTATTTATATATTTATATACATATCCTAGACGTGATGGCTTTTGGAACCGTTCGAATCCACTAAAGCACAGTTTTGGGCGCAAGGGGCTGTCAGTCATGACATGTGTGATGAAGGGATAGTTCGACGTTCCTTTAAAATGCATCTGGCTCTAACTATCCATGGGTTTGACATACCTGGTTGGTGGTTTCAAACATTTGTTATTTTTCCATAATATATGGGATCATCCTTCCCATTGACTAACTCATATTTTTCCTGATGGGCACATTGCACCACCAATTAGATACTGTTTATACAGATACACATACCCATATGCTCCATGTATGGAATATTTACCTACATTTGGGCCATTTTTTGGGGAAATGTAGGTAAATATTCCATACATGGAGCATATGGGATATGTACATACTGGATGCGGATTGAGAAACCTGACTGTTCCGCCAGATCTTGGCGGAGCATTCCAGGCGTGTCAACAACTTGCTAGCCTATGTGACAATGAGGCCGGGACGCGTACAGATCCCGCACGTGCCTGGTGTGTCCATTTTACCAACATGCAAGGAATGCATGTGCATATGATGTTAGTGGATTGTACTCATATAGATCATTATACATAGATCTATGAATTTTGAAGCCCTGCCATTGGATTTGTGTATGAACATCCATCAGGAACCCTGCTTGCTTGGTGGTCTGGAAAGGGAAACGATTGTGGACTGAGAAAAAGACGTTTGAGAATTGTGAAGGCAAAGCATTTGCAAAGAGTTCATACCAGAAGAACAAGCACTGCTTGCAACCTACAGTTGGTGGTTAAAGAATGTGGTTTATGCTTCAGATTTTCCCTTAAACCAACCCACCGAAACTTTGCCACTAGGTTCAACCACTGGTTGTAGAATTGGTCTTCTATATTCTGATTCATTAGACCATTCCAAAGTGATCCGAAATGGAACAAAAGAATCGCCAAAAAATCTTGGATTCCAACCTGGACCAGAAAAAACCAAACCATTGATATATGGGATTTTTGCTGTACAGTACAACATGTGGTTGGTGTTTGGGGGGTAAATGCAAGCAAATAGAGCATACATCCATGATTTGGAAAGGAGTCATTCCCCAGTGATCAATCAGACACAGCAAGACAATTTTTTTTTTTAAAGCAGTTTAAAATCGAAATTCTTGCACAGTATATAGATTTACTTGTACGTCAAAACCATACCTTTTTGGTGATTCTTCGTTTGATACCCATGAATTTTGGATTATCACCAATTTGCCAGCAAATTACTTTCCTGTAAGCGAACTTATAGGTGTGGAAAAGCAACCAGGTGTAGATTAGGGAAACGATAAGTTTTCCACATCTATGTTAGCGTTTACCCGAGGGTAATGTGGGTAAAACAAAAACCAAAATAATAGACCAGCCCCCAAAACACCATAAATGGGTGGTATGTTTACCATTCCCAAGTGGGTGGTTTATTGTTTTGCCATGATTTACCCACATTACAACATATTTACAGTTGATTTACAGATTAAGAAGGGTGATTTTACATATTTTTTTTGTATGTTTACCAGAGGGTACCCTCTGGTAATTTAACATAGCTATTGAAAATGGCCCATTTATAGTTGATTTACCTATTAAAGATGGTGATTTTCTATAGCTATGTAAACGTTTACCAGGCCGGGTAACCACGCTTTTCCATTGTTTCAGCAACCCAAACGTCGCGACAGGAGACCGCAAAGCAACTTGAGGAGGCGATTTTTTGTCAAACATCGCCCAGAAAAAACGACGTAAACGGTGGTGCCCCCAAGGTTCGCTAAATTGAATTGTAAGTTCAATAACTTGGGTTTATGGTAAATATATATATATATATATATGTATATAATCATCTATTTTCAGATTATTTGCCTATTGGTGGTATACCTTTTTTCTCAGACACACTCGTATGCATACAGATTGAATCATTTTGAAGGCTCAACGGCTTAAATTCAGGCTCAAAGGCATGATGAGATCATTCTTTGGGGTGCCCTGGTCTTCAGATACACCCATTGAGTTGTTTTCGATCCCTACCGGACATGCACACAGAAATTCCGAATACTCAGCATAGTTCACATAAAATTTCATAATAGCTACAACGGGGGGCGGGAAATTGACCATTTTGGTTCTATTTACTTCTATATGTATCCAATTTATCCCCCAAAACATATATGAGGTGTTGGCAGCAACCTCGGTTTTGTATTTTTTAAAGAATGGATTGCGTCATCCAACGTGGTTGAAGAATTTCGTATGTTTTGGAAGTTGCACATCAATCTCATCCATGTCCGCTGCGCATTCAGGTGATCCCTGGTGGTTGAAAGGTTAAACTGTTCAAATATGGGAAGCCGCACTGCAAGCATCCCAGACTTGCATGAAACTGCAGTAGGGTTGGTTTCCCATTAGACTTTCATAGATAAACCATGATAGACCAACATTTCCCATAGATAAAGCAACATCTTCTTGTAATGATTGTAATGATCCCATGGATAAAACAAGATAAAACTCCCGTCCCTTGGATGATGTGCCAGGCCGGCAAGACGGCCTTCACCGTGCTTCAGACTCGTTTTTCCAACCCCAAGTTGGGAAACCCAGAGGAAGGGTGCGGAATGGCGGGCTGGGAAGGGCGATCAGCTTTGATTTTTCGTCAGTTCCGAGAAAAACATAGAGATGGGTCAAGTTAACCAAGTTAACCTATGACACTACCAGATTTTTGGGAAATAAACCTCCATTCACAAATTGTTTTAGGGTACCATCCGGGGAGGCTTTTGACCCTGTCCAAATGTCCAATTCGCTTTTAAGGAATCCAAAGAATCGATCCTCGCAGGTTCTGGCAGGCGGGCTTGGAGTTGTTTCTGGCGCTGGAGTTTTACAACAGCTCGCCGGAGGTACGCGTACGGTACCGGTACGTGGAATGTGAGATCAACGGGGCTGAACATGGCGAATTTGTTCTGATTTTTGAGATGACATGTCATTGGTGATCATTTTATCCCATTTTGAGATGTTGTTTTGGCACAAAATTTCGCTCAATGTTTCTTCGTCTACACCGAGCTTGTGTGGTGAGGAAATCCCCGTGCGAGTTCCACATGATTGAGGCTGAAGTTCCCATTTTTTGCTGCGGGTTTTCTTGGCGAAGTCCACATTTTTGGCTCACATCAATCCACAAATTGGCCGCAGTTCATCTCCTATTTTAGCCAGTCAAATCCTTTTTTTTCTTGGGGTAAAACTCTCATTGCTGATAAAACCCTCAAGTCTGGTAAAATCTACAGTTTTCTTACATCTCAACTCCTGTCTGACAAGGTGAGCCGCTGGCGCGACACCGCACTGGAGGTGCCATTGGGTCGGGGCGGTTGTAGATTTTTTTTTGATTTTAGTGCTGGGATGATTACAGGAATTCCTAAAACGGAGAGGGACGTTAGTGGGGATATTAATGGTGGGAATTGTGGGATAATATCCTAATATGAATTGGGATATCCATATGGGATATTATAAAATGGTGGTGCAATATGAATTGTTGGATTTCCATTTTTTAAGGCCATATGAATTGTGGGGATATTCCCTGAACTTAAGGCCTTATATATGGTAGGTACCTCCAATAAATCGGTTCCTGAGTCATGGCCATTTGACAGGAATGATATATTTTATCTGGGATGATAGTTGGGATGATAATTATTGGGATGACTACTGGGATAGTTATTGGGATGGCTTAGGAGAACACACATCTGTTATATTTTTTTACCTGAGGAATCCCCAAGTCACCTGCAGGTTGTTTCAATAACTAAGTCTAACTAAGTCATGGTCATTCATGACTTGGATGATCTGGTGGTACCCCCATGACTTAGGAATATTTGGATATATCACTGGGATGCTCACTGGCGGCCTTAGTTTAAATGTATGTTGAATATACCCGCTGGTAATTTAACAGTTTGCTATTGAAAATGACCATTTATAGTGATTTTTCCCATTAAACATTGTGATTTTCCATAGTTTTTTGCACGTTTACCAGAGGCTACATCCAATGAGAGACCATCAAATCATCGAACATGGATCATTTTTATCTGGGAACCAGTGATTCTGGGCGAGTTGCTGATCTCAGAAAAGAAAGGGCCAAACGATAGGTAAGTCGATGAACAGGACTAGTAACGCCTAGTAGGCTATCTGTTGGATTTCTGGGGGATAGGTCTAGATGATCGACCCCCAAAGTTGGGCGGTTTTTTATTAAGGTACCTTCCGGTAAACTATCTATAGATGTGGAAAACCCACCATGCACGTAGATCCTTTTCCTAGGGTTTTCTCATCTGTTTTCCACGTCTTTGTTTAAAGATCCAGGGTACCAGAAGTGATCAGGTTTGCCGGGTCCATTGCTATCCCAAATCTCCATATACCCTCCGGTGTCATCAAACCTGACTGTGACTGGAACATCCCCAAACTCAATGGAGGTTTAATGGATATGGATACAGTAAATCAATGTAAATCATCTAGAACTAGGAGATGAATTTTCCAGCAAGCCATGTTTGATTTTACACCGGGTAGTCTAGTTCCGCTACTCTCGCACCTTTGGGATGATACCCCATTGATCCATGGGGAACTTAAAACTTGCCTGGGTACCTGGGGTTCATACGGCAACAAACGGGCTGTACCAGGTATACCTTCACTAGTGGCCGTTTCAAATAGGAACATGAGGTTCTAATCCATGAACTGTATCAGACAGACCCCATGAAAAATGGCAAGTGACATCGCTGTTTCTATCAGCCCTAATTTTACTGCTTCATCTTTACAACCAGGTTTCACCAGGATTGGTCATTTGTGGTGGTTCACCTAAATGCTGGCTGGTGGTTCCAATCCTATGTGCCCAGTTTGGGATGATCCAACTTGGTTCAACCACCAAGATGATGCTTGCCGTTGAGCTTTAGGTCACCGGTGAAATGAGAAGTTTCCCAACAAAAAAAAGCCCAACAATTATATGGAGATTTCCTGAAATGGGGGTACCCCCAATTCTCGTCCATTTTATTTCCGGATTTTCCATTATCAACCATCCAGCTATTGGGATACCCCCATTTATGGAACCCCCTATATCCCAACAATCCCTTCCGCAGAAACCATGGGTTAGTGGGGGATTAAATCACATCTTTGGGACCATGGAATAGGGGTGTTTTACTATGAGGGATGGGATGAATTATATATTCACACTAGTTGTTCCATTCTATTCCCATTATTGTTGCTTATATAAATCCAATTTGTTTCATCATTTTTGCTGGTGAACTCCCAATACCCTCTGGTAAACTAACATAGCTATGGAAAATCACAATTTTTAATCGGAAAACTCACTATAAATGGCAATTTTTAATAGCTTTTGCATGTTTACCAGAGGGTAATATCATCATCACAATAGTGCTGGCATGAGCGGTGACGAGCCATCTGTCCGAGACCTTTTGCAGGAAGTGGATGACGATGCCCGAGAGCGAGCCAAAGAACAGGCGCGTGACGGGACGTCGGCACGGCACGTGACGATTCCTCGATTTTCGTTACCCTCTGGTAAACATACAAAAAGCTATTGAAAATGGCCATTTATAGTGAGTTTTCCCATGAAAAATGGTGATTTTCCATAGCTTTTTGTACGTTTACCAGAGGGTAACATCCCACTGGAACCAACATTGGGATATACACTGCCTGGGGCACCTTGAAAAGCATGATTTCACTGTAGAGACAAGATGATATATAAAAACCGTTCCAGAGTATAATTTTACTGCATTAATGTCAACCCCGGATTAATAAACCATAGTTTATTTTCATTAGGGGGGTACTCCTCCAATAGTCATAATCTAATACTTAAATGGTACCCTCCCAATTAAACAGCCGTTTGGGGTTTATTAATCCAGGGTTGACATTACGTAAAAAACACCGTTCAGCTCATTTCCGGCAACCAAATCACAACACTGAGGTCCATCCCAGGAATTGAGGTTTTTTTCATGAGGTCCATCTTGGGAAGTAATATCCCCAACATATGTAAAGCCTTAATTTTATTAATATCATTACTGGTTGGTGGTTTCAAACACGGCTTTTATTTTCCATAATATATGGGATAATCCTTCCCATTGACTTTTATATTTTTCAGATGGTTAAAACCACCAACCAGTCTTATACCAACCAGTTATATATCATTATAAAGGATGCATTGTGGTCTTTCAATCCTTATGCCGGGTGATCATACAAAGTTTACTCCAAACTCTATTGAAAATGATTGATTCAACAATGTCAATCCATAAATGGTGGTTTCCATAGAATCACCCCAGATATCCACTAAACCCTAATATGGACCGCCATCACACCCAACAAGCCCAACCACTCATCATCCAGCAATCACCATTTCCACCGTGTCAGTGTCTCGACTCCCCGGGCCGCATGTGTAGTTTTGGTCACTTTTGGACGCAGGTGTGCTCTGGGCCGCATCCCAATGAACAGATGGTTAATCGCACAAGCTAGTGTACGCACAAGCTAGTGTAATGGAATATCTATGGAAAACCTATAGAAAACCCATTAATAGAATGGGCTAGCGCCCAGGTGCCGCCGACCCCCCTAATTGGAGGGGGGTACTGTAGAGAGAGAGAGGGAGACGGACAGCAAGACAGACATATGGCCGTTTGCTTCTCAAGCAGCGAGAAGTTGCACCCGGGAGGTTTGGAGCGTTTGAGGCCTGGCAAACGGCAGCCTTGAACGCCTATAAGAAGCCATTGCTGCGGCCGGGGGGTGCCCTTGCCCTTCAGCCATTGCTGTGGCCTTGTGGTGGCTTTTGCCTGCGGGCGTGGCGCGTGTTGAGCTTGTTGGGGTACGTTTTGCCGGCGGAGCTGGGCGGACTTTTGGAGGATTTGGAGGGTTTGAGGCCTGGCAAACGGCAGCCTTAAACGCCTATATGAAGCCATTGCTGCGGCAGTGGGGTGCCCTTGAGCCATTGCTGTGGCCTTGTGGTGGCTTTTGCCTGCGGGCGTGGCGCGTGTTGGGCTTGTTTGTTGGGGTACCTTTTCCCTGCGGAGTTGGGCGGATTTTTGGAGGGTTTGGAGCGTTTGAGGCCTGGCAAACAGACGTTGAACGCCTATAAGAAGCTATTGCTGCGGCCGTGGAGTGCCCTTGAGCCATTGCTGTAGCCTTGTGGTGGCTTTTGCCCCGGGCGTGGGGCCTGTTGGGCTTGTTGAGGTACTTTTGCTTGCGGAGTTGGGCGGACTTTTGGAGGGTTTGGAGCATTTGAGGCCTGGCAAACGGCAGCCTTGAACGCCTATAAGAAGCCATTGCTGCGGCCGGGGGGTGCCCTTGCCCTTCAGCCATTGCTGTGGCCTTGTGGTGGCTTTTGCCTGCGGGCGTGGCGCCTGTTGGGCTTGTTGGGGTACCTTTTGCCTGCGGAGTTGGGCGGACGTTTGAAGGATTTGGAGGGTTTGAGGCCTGGCAAACAGACGTTGAACGCCTATAAGACGCTATTGCTGCGGCCGTGGAGTGCCCTTGAGCCATTGCTGTAGCCTTGTGGTGGCTTTTGCCCCGGGCGTGGGGCCTGTTGGGCTTGTTGGGGTACTTTTGCTTGCGGAGTTGGGCGGACTTTTGGAGGGTTTGGAGCGTTTGAGGCCTGGCAAACGGCAGCCTTGAACGCCTATACTTAGTTCCGCTTAGCAGAATTGAAAAATTCTTTTGAGGATTTTTTTTTGTCCCTTGCAGACCTGTACGAGAAAATAACTTGTTTGCTTCGTAACGAGTTTCCAAAATATCTGTATCATAATTGGTTCCATATGACAATGGTGGGAAAACAGAATTCTAAGTTATTTCGATTTAAAATGTTGATGATGACTGAACCAGCTAGCCAGGTGACTTGGTGATTTTACCCCGATGATTATTGCATATTGTCATGTAACTTTATCCCAAGTCAGGGTTTCAACGAGAAAAGGCACAAGTTTGCACGAGATTCCAAAATAAGTCTTCTAGGTCTGGCGCCGCTGCTTTTTTCAACCCAAGCACAGGTTCCATGTCTGGAACTTTAGCTAATCAATTTTTAAATTCTTTGGCCGAGGCAGCCAAAAGAATGACTGCAGCTAAATTTGGCCAAGCCGTTGGACCCTGAGGCCGAGGCAGCCTTTAGGGCAAACCTCTGATGTTTGGACGTCGTTATTTTCAGTAAACCACCGCATGCCTTTGCGCTGGGTCATCTCTTGGCGAGCTTGAAAGCCAACTTCCAAACCTTTCTCGATCGACACTTCTTCAAATAGTTGTATTTGTTCATGAGCAAAAGGGGTGGCATTTTAGTCAACAAATGGTTCTGGATTTGGCGCATCGGCTTCATCGTTTTTGTAAGGACAGGAGCTGCTGGCTTCTTTTGCTTTGGGGCTGGCATGGCCAACATGACGACTGACAAACGGTTATATATTATTTTGCTTTAGTCCAAACACGGCTGGGGAAATCCCAGATTTGACCCTTTTGATTCTTGCGTGTGATTGTCGTCTGTGTGTGTGCGCGCGTGCATGCATGCGTGAGGTGGCTGCTGAAGCGAAGCACATGCAGGAAACCTTTTTACTCCCGCTCGCACGCTGTCAAAATTTCGGCAACCCATGGCCGTGTCAGCCATGACGGAACTCCTGGCCGCGTCAGCCAGTGATTTTGAAATCTTGGCCGTGTCAGCCAATGTTTTCTTCGCCGTCATTCAGTGGATCCCAAATGTCTTCTTCTTCCTGCTCCTGGTCCTCGTCGGCATCCTTGTTTTCGCAGCCGCCCGCGTCCTCCTGGTCCATTTCAGCGGCCTTCCTTTTCTGTCCTTTTGCCTTTCCTTTTGCTTGTGCTTTTCCTTTGGATTTTGGTTCGGAGTCGCATTCGAATTCTGCGGGCTGGCCGAGTGGAATGGCTTCTCTTTTCGAGTAAACCAATTCACCTTTGAAATGATTTTCACCGCATCTTCGCCATATGCAGCCTGCCACAAAAGCAGGAAAGCCCATGCTCCTTCCATCGTCGCCATGTAGATGTCCTCGCCTTCGTACTTGAAACTCCCATACTTGGTTAAGACGCCACCGCAGTCGATACAAAGCATGGGCGCCCACCCTGACTCCATAGGGTTTCCCCAGACCGAACCAGTCTGTGAGGTATATTCCAGGCAGAAACAGCCTGTGATAGCAGGCCAAGTCAGCCTGGGACGTTTCAAGGTTTAAGCCGAAACAGCTTATTACCTTTACACACTGTGTAGCCTGTGAGCCGAAAACAACGAGAAACGACCTGAGTGAGGCTTCTAAGGAGAGGGCTAACAGTCCTCTCCTTAGATGCCGCACTGACAGCAGCGAAGTGTGTAAGGAGAGGGCTGTGAGAGGACTATTTGAAAAATGCTGTTTTGCTTTAAGGATTTTTTTCAATAGTCCTCTCACAGCCCTCTTCTTACACAGCTCACTGACAGCAGGCCGGCGTTTAAGGAGAGGACTAACAGTCCTCTTCTTACACCACCGTTTTTGTAAATTCAAGGACAGCAGCGAATTACAAAATTACGTTTTTGAGGGTTCGTTCTGCTCAACGGATTTTTTTTCCGAAATTCAAGGACAGCAGCGAATTACAAAATTACGTTTTTGAGGGTTCGTTCTGCCGAACGGATTTTTTTTCCGAATTTTCAAGGACAGCAGCGAATTACAAAATTTCGTTTTTGAGGGTTCGTTCTGCCGAACGGAATTTTTTTTCGAACAGATTTATATTTCAAGCTTCGTATAAAGCATTGTTCAGTTCATGTTTGTGTCTCCGAGGATTGCTTTGAATTATTGGTTTGAATTTTCTGAACGAGTTTTTTGAAATTTTCAAAAATGTTCAAACTTCAAACTGCCGAATCCTTAACGACGACCAGTCGAATGGCGAATTTCAAAAATACCGAAGGAGAAAAAAAATCGAATGACGACGACACTTTCTACATTTCCAGAGATAAATGTCTCAGACATTCCTGCGCATATTCTTTTGGGGGACAGCCCTGCATCATTTGGCCGAAGCAGCCAAAGGATCCTAAAAAACAGCATCATTTGGCGTTGACATGATGTCTAGTTTTTTAAGGAACAAGGAACTTCGCTCTGGTAACAAGTATAAGTGAAATATCAAAGACAGTCAAGCCAGGAAAACAAAGCCAGTCAAAACAATGGATCCTTGAAGCGCCTTTTTTTCACGCGGCCCCATGTCAAGCGTGACGATGAATTAGACTTTGGCCGAAGCAGCCAAGCTGGCCGATGCAGCCAGACCAGCTGAAACCGACTAGCAAGGAATTGTTTTTCTCGCTGATCAAGCCTGCGGCAAACATGGCTTCCTGCATGATTTCTCCTATCAGTGGCACAGGAACACTATTGCCGCCTATCATTTTACAAAGGTCTTTCTCCGACACATAGTCAAAACAAGCTTCTGATGCTTCATAAAGTTTTCCTTTTGAATGCCAGCTTCTGATGTCACTAAATATTGCGCAAGATTGCCCATGCAACCTGCTGACCGGCAGGCTTTGCAACCGATTCCCCATGGTTCGTCTTGCTCGTCTAGCCATGACCCCAAGCTGACATTAGAAGTGTCTAAAGGAAAGCTACTCTGCCATTTTGCTCCCAATTTCCTCCATTTCCGCCTGGCCCCAACAGCCCCGTCGGCTTCAGCTGTCATTGCCAAGCCTTCAAGGAAAGCCGGAGCAGCTTTGCCTTGAAGATTGGGTGCAAGGGAAGCTGTTACAGCTTCACCTTGCAGGGGCAAGCTAGGTTTCAAGAGCCAAGAGCAAAGGTCAAACGAGGTTTTGAATTATTTTTTCCTCTTGGAAAATATCTCCATGATCTGATCAACAAGATTCTTGTTCTTAAACATGGCACTATGAAATCAATATCCATTTGCTCAGTTTCTTCCAAGATGGACAATGTGGATGTGGGACAAGGTTATGATGAAAGTATATTGAACGTGAGGTAAAGGTACGAAGTAGAATTACGAGAGCAAACGAGAAATGAAAATAAGTTTAAAAGCAACAAACGAGAGGAAAAAAAACACAATAAAAATGACAAAGAAAAAATTCCAAAAAAGAATTTTTCAATTCCGCTAAGCAAAGCCAAGTATAAGAAGCCATTGCTGCGGCCGGGGGGTGCCCTTGCCCTTCAGCCATTGCTGTGGCCTTGTGGTGGCTTTTGCCTGCGGGCGTGGCGCGTGTTGAGCTTGTTGGGGTACGTTTTGCCTGCGGAGCTGGGCGGACTTTTGGAGGATTTGGAGGGTTTGAGGCTTGGCAAACGGCAGCCTTAAACGCCTATATGAAGCCATTGCTGCGGCAGTGGGGTGCCCTTGAGCCATTGCTGTGGCCTTGTGGTGGCTTTTGCCTGCGGGCGTGGCGCGTGTTGGGCTTGTTGGGGTACCTTTTCCCTGCGGAGTTGGGCGGATTTTTGGAGGAGTTGGAAGGTTTGGAGGGTTTGAGGCCTGGCAAACAGCCTTGAACGCCTAAAAGAAGCCATTGCTGCGGGCGTGGGGTGCCCTTGAGCCATTGCTGTAGCCTTGTGGTGGCTTTTGCGTGCGGGCGTGGCGCCTGTTGGGCTTGTTGGGGTACCTTTTGCCTGCGGAGTTGGGCGGACTTTTGGAGGATTTGGAGGGTTTGGAGGGTTTGAGGCATGGCAAACGGCAGACTTGAACGCCTATATTATAAGAAGCCATTGCTGCGGCCGGGGGGTGCCCTTCAGCCATTGCTGTGGCCTTGTGGTGGCTTTTGCGTGCGGGAGTGGCGCGTGTTGGGCTTGTTGGGGTACCTTTTCCCTGCGGAGCTGGGCGGACTTTTGGAGGAGTTGGAAGGTTTGGAGGGTTTGAGGGCTGGCAAACGGCAGCCTTGAACGCCTATAAGAAGCCATTGCTGCGGCCGGGGGGTGCCCTTGAGCCATTGCTGCTGTGGCTTTGTGGTGTCTCTTGTGTGCGGGCGTGGCAGCCTTGAACGCCTATAAGAGGCCCTTATAGCCATTGCTGCGGCCGGGGGGTGTCCTTCAGCCATTGCTGTGGCCTTGTGGTGGCTTTTGCGTGCGGGAGTGGCGCGTGTTGGGCTTGTTGGGGTACCTTTTCCCTGCGGAGCTGGGCGGACCTTTGGAGGGTTTGGAGCGTTTGAGGCCTGGCAAACGGCAGCCTTGAACGCCTATAAGAGGCCCTTATAGCCATTGCTGCGGCCGGGGGGTGCCCTTGAGCCATTGCTGTGGCCTTGTGGTGGCTTTTGCCTGCGGGCGTGGCGCGTGTTGAGCTTGTTGGGGTACGTTTTGCCGGCGGAGCTGGGCGGACTTTTGGAGGATTTGGAGGGTTTGAGGCCTGGCAAACGGCAGCCTTAAACGCCTATAAGAAGCCATTGCTGCGGCCGTGGGGTGCCCTTGAGCCATTGCTGTGGCCTTGTGTTGGGCTTGTTGGGGTACCTTTTCCCTGCGGAGTTGGGCAAACTTTTGGAGGAGTTGGAAGGTTTGGAGGGTTTGAGGCCTGGCAAACGGCAGCCTTGAACACCTATAAAAGAAGCCATTGCTGCGGCCGTGGGGTGCTCTTGAGCCATTGCTGTGGCCTTGTGGTGGCTTTTGCCTGCAGCGTTGGGCGTGGCAAGGGTTCAAGAAAGACAGGATCCACACCTCCGGTCCCAGGCGCCGCCCCGGCCTTGGCGAAGGCCGGGGTCGGCGGATATTCGCACACACACACACATATATATATATGTATACGTATCACCATTGAATCACCATTCCTAGAGGGTTTTCCTGTGGAAAGCTTTCCTGTGGAAAGCTTTTGGAAAACCTACAGTATAAATCCAACGGAAAACCTGTAAAGTCTATGGAACATCTATGGAACATCTATGGAACACATAAAAATCTATAACTGCTTGGTGGTTTCAAAAATGAATTTTATTTTCCATATATGGCATGTCATCCTTCCCATTGACTTTCATATTTTTCAAGATGCTTAAAACCATCAACCAGATAAAATCCAACGAAAATCTGATTTCCAGAGGGTACCTACGGAGACCCAAAGATCCAACGGAGTTTTACGATCCGAATGGCTGGCGAGGCGCAACGGCGACGGCTCGAGGAGGACAAAAAGCACAACAAAGGGCGCTTTGGTGACTTGGCGCGGCAGTGGATGGGACAAAAAATCGGGAATATATATATATATATACATATACATATATAAGCATATATATATATATATGTATAATATCTAATATTATGTATTTAATGATTGTTTATTTATTTATTTATTTATATACCATAGTATACCATAGTCAATATATATATATATAGTTATATACTTATAATAAAATATATCTAAATAGTATAGTCAATAAGTCGATATATCTCATCTATATTAAATCAATGAATGCCAATATATGGAGGTTTCCTGAGTCATGGGGGTACCCCAAAATAATCATTGTCATCAGGCGATTTTGGTACTGAAACCCACTATTATTACGATATGGCTGGGGGAATACACATCCATTATGTACTCGGCTATAGGCCAGGGTACACGGTGCCAGGGTTTTGACTAATAGCCAAATAGATGGGTTCATAACCGGGTCTATATTAGTCTCTACCCCAGTTTTATATAGTTTTATAACCTAACAGCAATATTCATAAATCACAAGAATCAAGATCTCCTAATCTCATCTAATCTCTTGTTCTTGGGTTACCCTCTGGTAAACTAACAGTTTGCTATTGAACATGGCCATAGAAATAGTCTTCCGTCGCTTGTCGCGGCTTGGGGATGGGATGGATGGGATCGGGATGCCCCGCAATAATTCGTGGCAAGGGTGATGATGATCCACAAATCCCAACAAAAAGTACCTTTGGTTGATAACCCCATATATACACCATCTAAATATAGTTCTAAGATGTTATTTGTGTATCATAACACCAACTTAGTGATTTTCCATAGTGATTTTCTAGTTCGTTATGTAAACGTTTACCAAAAGTCCCATTCTTTGGATCAGCCAATCACCAGCGATCACCAGCAGGAGATGCCATGATGCCACTGAGCCTCGGAGAGCTGTTGGCATCTCAAGGTATGGTGCTGGTGCCCGAGGCCGGGCCTCTCCGATGGGGCGTTCCATGTGAAGAAGTTGTGGGGAGGGTGAAGAAAATGGGGGTTCATTGGGATAGAAAACGACTTTTCTGTAAATTTAATGTGTATGAATCAATAAAATTTGGGTATATAACTATTGAGTATAGAACTATAGATTAATAATTCTGACAATTGGGGTTATATACCGTACATGTAACATTAGTATATAGTTCTTATAATTCACCATTTGTGATATATCCCAATATTCATGTTTTCGGGAGGGTGAGCAATGGGGGTTAATGTAAATGACAATATATTGGAATTATGGGGGTTTCTTAAGGCCTAAAGGATCCTCAAATCACCATGATTGTTTCAATACGAAGTTATTGTCATTCATGACTTGGATGGTTTGGCGCTACACCATGACTCGGGAAACCTCAATATATTGGCATTTATTGCTTAGAATATAGATGGGATATATTGACTCTCATATTCTGATATATATATATATATCCTAAAATAATTATAATTATTGATAGAGTAAACAAATATATATTTATAAATGTGTTTATGAACAATAACATATTTTCTTTTTTTTAAATATTCACTGATATATATATATATAAATAGTATACATAAAATCACTATGGTATATATATATATATATATATGGCAAGCAATGGGGATAAATCCGGATATGATTTACGGCAATGTAATGGGATGTAGAAGCAACAATTTGGACACATGGGGACATAATTACCCTCTGGTTATTTACATGGAAAGATCCACCCATTTTTAATAGGTAAGCCATCTATTTCCATGGGCCATTTTCCATGGCTATGTTAGTTTACCAGAGGGTAAACCTCCATTTTCCTATGGTTTTCCTATGGTAAAATGGAATTTTGCCAACGAATAATATGAGGATTCGATGGATTAATGGAGATATAAGAATCAACTTGATGATGTCAACCCTGGATTAACAAACCCCGTTTACGGTTGTTTAATTGGGTTAGTACCATTTAAGTATCAGATGAAATGACTATTGGGGAAGTACCCCCCTAATGAAAAGATTAAACTATGGTTGATTAATCCGGGGGGTTCTCTGAAAGTGGATTGTAAAACCTCAGAAAAATGGTCATTTTCACGACCGTGATTTGTTCAACCATCGAATTTGGGAAGATTTTGATGCATCTTACGGCTACAGGTTGGAACATATTCATGATCTGGTAATTAAACATGCCTAGCTGGGAAAATCCTGGTATGGGAGGTTTCAATGGGAAATATTTGAACATGATGGATTTTGCTTTGCCATAATTGACTACTGGAGGATATGGAAATTTCAGGGTAACACTTGTCCAATGCATGTGTATCCCAGCAAGTGGGTACCAACCTTATCACAACCTAGTTATATGTGGGATATGCCCGATATATACAACTACTGGTTGTTGGTTCGGAACATGAATTTTATTTTTCCATATATTGGGAATAACAACCCCAACTGACTTTCATATTTTTCAGAGACGTTGAAACCACCAACCACCAACCAGATACAACTAACTGGGTTATCCCCTGCATACTATAGTTGAAGCAGCCCCAGGTATAAAGGTATGGACGCATACCCAAATTTGCTCAGTGAATTTTGACCTTGTGCATGGACTAGAGGGTAGATGCCATGCACCTCCATTGAACGGTTGGAATCAGAACAACATTCGCTTCAACATGGATTTCAAAATGTTTGAAGTTCATCCTGCGGATAACTTGGCCATGATATTGAGATATATTGAGATCAATCCTTCCCAACAGGGTCTAAATTTCAGGGCTGTATCGGATGAATTACCATCCGGGAATCAAACATGGCCATTTACAAAATCCCCTGTAAATGGAGGTTTTGAATGGTTTTGGGTAGATTTGGTGTCCCCATGTTTGTTTCCCGGAGGGGTGCCTTGTTTCAGGATGACTCACGCCCTGGCATGTCGCGTGATGCGCGTGCTGAGTTGCGGGTGAAGACGGTGTTGGAAGAGGCGATTCGGGCGGTTCCAATCATGGCGGCCGAAATCACAAAGATCTTTACAGGATGAGGCCCCAGTTCGTGAACGCTAAGTGGGTGCAAATAACTATTTCATAACAAGTTGGTGTTATGATACGCAAACAACATCTTATAACTATATTTAGATGGGGTTTTATATGGGGTTATAAACCAAAGGTACTTTTTTTTGGTGATTTTTTGATCATCATCACCCTTGCCACGAATGATTTTTTGGGGCATCCCGATCCCATCCATCCTTCTATGACATCCCCAAACCGACAAGCGACGGAAGACCAGGATTTCAGCCAATCATGATACCCTCTGGTAAACGTTTACATAACGAACTGGAAAATCACCATGCTATTAATGGGAAAACTCACTATTTCGACTGGGCCATTTTCAACAGCAAACTGTTAGTTTACCAGAGGGTAGATCTTAGTTTTCATCAATACTTGGATATTAAAATATGACTTAGGAATACCTAGGACATATTTTATGACTTACTATTTACTAGATATGCAAGTCTGATGACGGGATATGATATTGATAGATTAGATGACCTTAGATATCAATATCCTTAGATATTGATGATAGATATCATTTGATTTTATCAGGATCTGATGTGGATTTCATGTTTTATTTTTTGGCCATCCAGGACATTTGCGTGGTTTGCCAAGAGACTATGCCTGCAGGCTGCTTTTCTCAGTGCGTGGAAGAGTGCGTTGAAGTCCCCCAACCATGAAATGTTTGTTGGTTTATTACCCTACAAGGTGGTGCCCCCTAGATAGCTAAGTTGGTTTATAACTCCAATAACTATGGTTTATAGGTGATATATCTATAGTTAATGGTGTTTATAAACAAATTTAAAACTAGGGGGGCACCACCTTGTAGGGTAAACATGTAAAAAATAAAAACCGCTTTCCGATCTACAAATGATGGTTTTCCCACATCTATGTAAACGTTTAACCCAAAACGGGTACCTTTTCATCGTTTTTATATTTTATAGTTCAAAGTGGTTCCATAGTCAACAGGGTAACTATAGACTATAATTATTTTTCTTGCTTTAACTATTAACCTTTCCACTCGTTCTTTCATCACCGTAAACCAAACGATATTCATCTTAGCCAAACAGACACAGTCAATGGATTGGTTTTCACGGGAAATTCTTAACCGGAAACCATGGTTTTTACCATTACTGTAAATATGGGGTTTTCCTGTAATTTTTCCCTTAAACCAATCCATTGAAACATGGTTCCAAACTTGTCCAAACCATGAGGCATGCGTCTGCGCGGTGTGCGTTCGTGACTTAGTTATTAACGGTGACCGTGACTTACGATGTGAACTCTACTGTAGATTCGAATTTCCAATACGATCCCATACGGAAACAACGGCACAAATCATGTCCAAACCAACCATATTTGGTTTCTGCATGTTTCTGGGGGGTTACAGTATCTCGCTTTAATGGTGGTTACAACATATTGAATCTCGAGTTTTACGGGTTAATGTCAACCCCAGAGTAATGAACCATGGTTTATTTGTGGTGGTACCCCCCTCAATTCAGCGACCTAGGGGTTTATTCATACAGGCCCCCCAGTTATGTTTCATGGTTATAAACCCCATGAAGTAGTTCGTTATATCCCCCATAAAGTCTACTTTTGCCAAGTGAACTGAGTATAAGTTGGTTTGTAGACAATTGGTAAACACAATTGCCTACAGTGGCAAAATGTATAAGTTGGTTTGTAACCCCTTTAACTTTCGTTCTACTCCCCATAAACGTTAACGGGTTAACGTTAACCAGTCGTGAGCTGTGCAGCGACAGGATCCAAGGCGAAAGCCATGCCTTGCGGACATTTGTTCCACGACGACTGCCTCATCTCTTGGGTGGGATCCCAAGAAATCCAATGGACAAAAAGAAAAGTCTTACCCTCTGGTAAACATACAAAAAGCTATTGAAAATGGCCATTTATAGTTGATTTTCCCATAACAAATGGTGATTTTCTATAGTTATGTTAGTTTACCAGAGGGTAAATCTTGGAGTTGCTGATGATTCTGATATTTTTCTCCGGAAATCCATGGAAATCCACTACAAGTATAGGGTCTGTAGTCTGTTTTTTTTTGTCATTTTTTCAGATTCCTTCAGCAAATCCAAGCATCAGGAGAATTTTGACGTCATGCTGAGTCGAGCACAACATGGGGCCTCCGAGTCCATGATTTCTTGGATTTCCTTCATGGTTAATCCACTATGACTGAGGAATCTATGTGATACTGGTTGGTGGTGACTGGAACATGGCTTTTATGACTTTCCATATCTTGGGGGTTTGTCATCATCCCAACTGACGAACTCACTCCATCATTTTTCAGAGGGGTGGCGAAAAACCACCAACCAGGATAATAGGTCGCAATATCTGGCAATATGTTTGTTTTGATGGCCTTAAGCAAATCCAAGACATCATTGTCTTTGAGGAAAACATCAACTTGTCAGGTTTCCAGTTTGGGATTGGTTGTGAATTGCCTACATAGCTGTCCTTCCTTGACGGCTTGGCTGATAAATGTATGTGTACATTGAAGCATTTTTTCAGGGCGCAGCCCTCTCATTTGTTGCAACTCTGGTTGGGTTAGATCTGGTTAGGTTAAGTGATACTAAGCTGACATCATTAATTTGATTAAATGGGATTTTGATCATATCCATGAGATTATAATGGGATTTCGAGGTTATTCAGTCGAGGATGGCTGGTTTGGTACCGTAGCCTTGCCAGGTGCCACCCGGATGAATGATCATTTTGGTGTCATGTCATATACATACACATGTGTATTGCTTAGATATATATATAATATATAGAGAGAGATAGATAGATAGATAGATAGACAGACAGACAGACAGATAGATAGATAGATAGACAGGCAGACAGACAGATAGATAGATAGATAGATACATAGATAGATAGATCTCATATATATATATATCATACATATGCAAAACATGTATCTATCATTGTGTTTATATGTACCCATTGTAACAAGACCTTCATCCCTCGCCGAGGTGAAGAAGAGCAACTCCTGTCCCACCTGCCGCTTCGATGAGTTGCCCAGCGAGAAGAAACACTTCGATGATGTGCCCCGGCCTTGGACGTGTTTCACCAGGGAATTGGATATTTTTTTAGGGAAAACCATAGGAAAACCATAGGAAAACCATAGGAAAATGGAGGTTTACCCTCTGGTGATGTCAAAATAGCTATTGAAAATAGCCATAGAAATAGTGGATTGACCCAGCTATAAAATTGTGATTTTCCATTGTTATGTTAGTTTGTCAGAGGATAATTTATTTGTATAAATACAACAGACATATATATATATATATCATTGATGTATATTGATCTAATTGGTACAATTACTGTTTATATATTAAATTATATATACACCGATACACCCTATAGTATACCCCCATAGAGAGCTGTAGTTACCATAAGATACTATAGATGGTGAACTATATGGCTAATTAGAATACAATTATATAATATATATATATTTGGTGTAATTGCTATAACTATATGAATTAAGTATGGGACATAAGCCATGGGATATCAGCCGGACATGATGTTTTTCTGGATTTGCTGAGTCGAGCCATGTTGCAGCGTGAATGTGAAATACTGGCTGTCAGAACGAAATTCCCAGATCATGACTGGTTGGTGGTTTGGAACATGAATTTTATGACTTTCCATATATTGGGAATGTCATCATCCCAACTGTGACTCACTCCATCATTTTTCAGAGGGGTAGGTACACCACCAACCAGATGAAATTCCCCATATTGGGTTTAACCACACAGGATCATCAAGCAACAGTCAAGCAACAAAGGTTTCAACATTGTTCAAATGGGTTTCTGTCAGAATGGTACGCCTTCTCAATGAGAAAACTATGAGAAACCATGGATTTTTTCGGGGTTCCCAGTTCTGAGACAGCCATGGGATTTAGTTGGTACATGGACATGCATTCCGCATTCCATTTGGAAAATGGTTCATAACATTCATAACTACGGTGCCAGCCAGTCACACGTGTGATGTGACATGGGTGTGTCTTAAAATGGTGTATGCCACCAAAAAGCAATTTTAATAGGACACTGCTGATAAACCATGATAAAACATGATAAGCCACTGGATTTAGGGGCACCTAATTTTCACACAAACCCATTTATTGAGTTGTATGTGTGCATGTATAATAAATATGTATATATATATATCGAATATAGAATATGTACATAGAGGGAGTAAAGACTATTGCTGACTGGAATGCACATCCTCCGCACATCCAAGTACCATTGGGATATGTAAGCGATAACATTCCAAAAATGGTAGATACAGGGTGGATACATGGAAGAAAACGCGATCAGGAGATACCGGGGGGCACCACCTATATATCTGTACTGATCTGGTGAACAAAGCGTGTGCTGCGATTGGAATATGCAGCCAATCAGCTGGTTTAATCCTGATATGTTCAATCTGACCCGTCGAAGTCGCATTTTTTGGTGCGAAATGGATCACTCTCATTGAAGAATGGCAGCCGAACTCCAACCTGGCCCAAATCCGCTAGATCTAAGTACCTACCGAGGATTTTCCCGCAATCATTGGGGGTTTCCAATGCCATGTTTGACTACTGGAAGGTAGCTAGATATCGCCAGCCCCTGCAAAGCTTCCACTTTGTCCCAGACTGGGTGGATTTTTTTTCAGGAAACCTCAGCATTTGGATTTTAGAAATACCATGGTTTCAACTGCAATTTCCCTTTTACATTCATCTTTTGACACCCTTGAGGTACAGCAACAAGTGGAACAACGGCAACCTGGTGCCTCGGGACTTTACTCCTGAGAATCTCCTCTTCGTGGATGGAAAAAAAAATCCGGCCGTGACAGCACCACGACCGACGTAGCTAGCAATGTCAGAATTCGTCATGTTTAGTACTATCCTCTGGTAAACGTTTACAGAACTATAGAAAATCACCATTTTCAATGGGTAAATCCACTATAAACGGCCATTTTCAATAGCTATGTAAGAAATTACCAGAGGGTACAGAACATCTCACCATTTGCAAGCGTTGATCATTTCGATCCACAACCACATCAGTTGGGTATGTGCAGGGTATGCAGTGCCGGTTTTTTGAGGTCTTTGACATGTTCAGTTCCTGCTGCCTTTGGGGCCCAAGACTGGAAATCTACAGGAGAAAATGGCCCTCCAAGCTGTTGAGCTTTGTACACATCGCTTCATCTTGGATTGGCTTCAGGTGATTTTGTATTTTTCCATTGGTGAATCCACCATCTGGAGGAATCTACTGAATCTACTCGGGATCTTGATGACTTTTTTTTCTGGTCCCCATCTAAGTCATCTAAGTTACCCTTTGAAGTGGGGTGAAAGGCACTCCTTTTCTCAGCATTTAGACACTTCTTGCAAGACCCTTTCATAGGAGATCTTAAGACCCAAAACTCACAGGCGACAACATCACCTTTGAATATCGGCCCTGCCAAAATTTGGGCCATGGAGGAGGCCGGGTGGATTTCGACATATTTCGACCGTGTGACCTGTGTCATGCAAGTTGCAAGTTGATTCAAGATAGCCTCCGGTGTCATCAAACATGGCTGGGAATTCAACAGCAGATCACATTTAGTCAATGGCCATGCAACAGGAACCGATTGATTGGAGGTACCTACCATATAAGGCCTATTTTTTAGGCCTATGTAAGGGACTATACACCCAACATATGGCCTTATATGGTACTAACGTACCTCCATTTTAGGATCCTGGAATTCCCATTGATTTAGATATAGCCAATTTATCCATATTTTATCCATATTTTATCCGTGAGGGGGATATTTATCATTATTTATCCATCCCAATTGGAGTTTGGTTATTGTTCTTACTAACTTCTATGCAGTTATGGCCTTTTACCAGTTATAAGTACTTATAACCCCATTTATAGAATGTATAATCCCATTTATAACCAGTTATAACTAATAAATGGCCATAACTATGGGGATGGTTTTTTTTGCACCGTGACGTCACGGGTGACGACTGTCCATGACGATCAAAAAGTCTGGGGATGGATCGGAACATGTCACCAAGGTGCTGGGGGAATGCATACCCACAACCAGCAGCTATTCCCATTCCCTCAATGTTACCCTCTGGTAATTTGTTACATAGCTACCCATAGGATCCATGTATGCTATATATGGTAACATGGATCCCATCAATATACCCCCAATTGTTAGTATATATACCATACATGGATCCTATGGGCTATGGAAAATGGCCCATATATAGTGAGTTTTCCCATTGAAAATGGTGATTTTCCATAGTTATGTAAACGTTTACCAGAGGGTAAACACTCTCATTCTATGGTCCCAAATATGTACCCTCTGGGAATTTTTAACATGAGGGAAAATCCACCATTTGGATTTATAGATGATTTTCCCATGAGCACCTTCATTTACAGACCATTTCCAATTGCCACGCACAATTTAACCGGGGCGTAAACTAACCCCCTACGGATCATCCCCTCGTTCCGACTGGTTGTCCGGGCAGTCACGGATTCTCCTCCGGTTACGCGTTGCGTGCGTTTGGCAGTTACCATGTAAGCGGGGTGAACCTTAAGATTTTAACATAGCTATGGAAAATGGCCATTTAGTTCGTTGATTTACCTATTAAAAATGGTGATTTTCCATATTGTTGGTTAGTCACAACCCACGTAACCCATTCTATCCGAAAGGACTTCCCCCCCCCCAATTTTTTTTTTTCGAGACCTATGAACTGGTTGGTTTAGCCTCCGGAAAATCAAACATGGCTTGCTGGAAAATTCCATATTTATAGATGATTATCCCAGCTATAAATTGTCAGAAATCGATCGGGGATTTCCATGGTTTGCTTCCTGGTTGGTTTAACCAATGTTATTTCCCAAGTACCCACCCATAAACTAACATATATATATATATATATATATAGAGATATTGAAAACCTATCATTTGTAAAATTTGTAGATCATGTTCGTACTGTAACCATGGGCTTTTTACATCTATGTCAACTTTAAATGAACACGTTTACCGTGGGGTATATATTGGATAGCATTATGAATTATTAGCAATCCATTATTATCATTATATCAATGTTAATGCATATGTATGGATATAATAATCATTAATAATCAATATATTATCATATATTATCAATACTATCATATATTATCATTATTATCATTACTATCCATTAATATCAAGCCTAGGGTTTACCCAAGGGTTTCCAATGGATATCGATGCCCAAACGTTTACCCATTGGTTAGACCGGCTACCAAAGTTGCCAGGTCAAAACCATCCGCCCAGAAGGGCCTAGAAGCATGTGCCGAGCTCAAAATCATGGGCATGGTTATTAATGGTTATTAATGGTTAATGGTTACTAATGGTTATTAATGGTTAATGGTTACTAATGGTTACTATGGTTAGCTATTATTAATGGTTGCTACAATGGTTATCATTATTAAGGGCATCCGTTTGTACCAGTGATGGCTAGCTGTGGGATTTGGCCATGTGATAAACCACACATTAATGAGGTATGATGGGTCATATATTTTAACATCTGCAGATATGGATGTGTATAACAGGTTTGGGGTACCATAATTTTGAACCCCCATATATGTATATATATATATATATGCATATACTGTATATATGTATATATATATATATACATAATCGTGCATACAAGTGGAATTTTGATGAACTCTCAAATCCGCTATGTGTTGAGTATATCATCAGCAACCACAGGATGCAGGAGACCAGATTTTTTTCATGACCGGTAGCCATGTTTTGATACTTTCGGATTCATCGTAGGATTTCCCAGCTATTCAAAGATATTCATATCTCTTTATGTATATCAATTGGGTACCCAAGTTTGACCTTTTTTCTATGAAACTATTCAATCTATCATATATTTATGATAGGAATTTTCAAATATCACAATATATATATATATACATATGAATGAATGACGTATATATAATTATGTATATATATATATATTTCAAACATATTCATACATATCCCAAGAATACCATCATTTTTATTTCCATTTATAGACGACGAGTTTCCCAGCAATCACCATGTTTGATTGCCGGAGGGTAACCCCTATACAATCATCATTCTATCGTATACCATGGTATCACCCTATTCATAAAGAATTTGTCCATTTAACAGGTACCCCAAATTATGGATATTTACCCAAATTATAGATGTTTAATTTGGGGGTACCCCCTGGATTAATAATCCCCTAGCCTATTTACCCTATCCACAAATATCTACAGTTATGTCCATTTATTAGTTATAACTCGTTATAAATGGGATTATACATTCTATAAATGGGGTTATAAGTGGTAAAGGGCCATAACTGTATGAACATGGGTAAAATTGGGGATTTCCCTGGGGCCCCCCATGTTTGACCGCTGAAAATCAGGAGCCACCTTTGGTTCCCTCCTCGTGGCTTGCCAAGACCCACCATGAACCAGGCGCCGTGGCGCCGTGGCGTCAATGGCTTGTGAAACGTACAGGATGGGCCCCCCAGTTCTGTTTGTTGGTCTATAACCCCATCTAAATATAGTTATTTGCGTATCATACACTATTGTATAGCTACAAACCGGTTTAGCTAACGAACTGGGGCCCCATCCTGTACTTAATATTGGATTTATCTTATTCACTATACAGTTAGATTTATTTCTCTTAAGGTGAATCGCCAGCATGAATCCAACTCAGCCTTGTGAAATATACAAAGTTAGCTCATGTTTGGGGGGCTCCCCGTTGGTTTATGATCATCAGGAATGATTGTGGGAAATTCATGATGCTGGTGAGAGTGACTCTGTCATTTTTCATGGTACCCTCTCCAAGGGGGGCGTGCGGGCTTGGATATTCCTTGCCATTGGACTCGAGGTGAAAATCTTCACGGCTGTAATCACACTGAAATCCGTGGAAACCACGGCAAGATTTGGGGGTTTGTCAAGGCTTGGAGTGTTTCTTTGTCACAGTTCGCATGGAGACTCTCAGTCCTGGCACCGACTTGGCGCGCACAGTTTTTTTTTTTTTGTGAAAATGGGTTGTCTACCTCCACATGGCCTTGGGAACGGAGGATGTCCCCCCAAAATTTTCAGACATGCCCTCCGTAATCAAACGTGGCTGGATGGAAAATCCCCGCTCAAAATGGAGGTGTATCGCTGAGAAAATCATCTATTTTGATGGTGTGGATTTTCCAGCAAACCAGCAGCTCATCTGGAGGAGCCAGCCACACAAGTACCGAACCACCTGCGGGCGATGATATATATATATATAAATAGATCTATTCATCGCAGTTGGGACACACGATGCAGTTGTGCCGCCGCGCCGTCGTCAAACCAGCTTGGCTGATAAGATACGACAGGATTTTCTGAGTCGCTGATGTTCCTACTTAGATGGGCCATGGGATTAGCTAAGTCTGGTTAATCACAGGGATATAACTGGGTATGCAATGGGGTTATAATCCAGTTACTAACAAGTTAATTAATTACATGGCCCATCTAAGTAGCAGCTGGGACCATCATACCCTGCGACCTATATGACCACCGTGGCAGTTGGAACCTGGAAATTAAGTTAAGGGATCTTTCATGTTTTAACCCTAGATACACGGTACATCCATGTATATCCTCGAAAGTGTGGTTATACCGTGTTATACCCACTGGAACCACCATTTTCTATATGGAGCTTTCCGAAAATAGGGCTAGCATCTTTCCGGATTTTCCATTCTAAACATAATTATATCATAATTATAAACCATCTATTTTTGGGATCTCATGGGATATCCCCATGATATCCCCATGACTTTGGAAACCACC